CACGGTCTAGATCACATTCAGGATCCGGAGGTAGGTGATACTCTCGCTCAGGCAGCAGGAGCAGGGAAGGAGGTCAAGATCAGCATGTCCTCAGAGATTAAGGTCTGTCTTTTTTGTAGGTCAAGGTCAGCTTCACTCAGACCTGATCTGGTTTTATAAAAGGATCAAGGTATTTCCAATCCTGATCTAGGTCAATATCAGGATCCAGGTCTTGGGGGAGGGGTAGCGCTCAGTGACAGAGTGCTTGCTTAGCACGCCTGAGGTCCTGGGTTCAATCCCTAGTACCTCCATTACATAGTCAATTTAAAAATTCAATAAGTAAATAAACCTAATTACCTCTTCCCCTGCTAAAAAAAAATTGAGAAACCAAAACAAAAATAAAAAAAAAGATCCCGGTCTCTTTCATGACCAAGAAGCAGCTGATCAAAGTCCAGGTCTCCATCTCCAAAAAGAAGTCATTACGCCATGAGACGTTGGCAAAGAAGTGCAAGTCCTGAGAGAGTGGACTGAAGTTCTCAAGTTCACCTTTTAGGGAAAAGTTATTTTGTTTACATTACTATAAGGGATGTGTGATGTCAGTAAAGTGTAACCCAGAGAAAGGTGTTTCAACCATCTAATTAAAACTGGTCTGGACCATTACTCTGTAAACTCACTGCAGTTAAGATAATATAAATTTTTGTTGAATATATAAATATCCCATGGTCTGAAATGTGGATTTTTATTTGGCACATTTAAATAAAATATTTCTAACTAGGAAAAAAACAAGAAAACTTCTATAGTAAGCATCACATTTAATCAGGAGATACTGGAAGATTTTCCTCTGAGATTGGGGAAGGGGCAATGACACCTGTGTTACCACTTCTGTTCAACTATGTTCCCAATGTCCTGGCTCGTGCAATAGGGAGAGAAAAACAAATAAAAGGAACAAATGATCAAAAAGCAAGAAATAAGATTGTCATTACCCACAGATGATATTATTGTATGTGCAGAAAATCCAAAACAATATACAGAAGAACTATTTGAATTAACAAATGAATTTACCATGTCACAAGTCACCTGATACAAGGCGAATATACAAAAATCAGTTCTGTTTCTATATGGCAGAAATTTAAAAGTTAGAAAAATTTCAAACAATTCTATTTTCAGTAACATAAAAAACAATTACCGAGGAATAAAAATAAAGATGTACAGATCTCTTTATGAAAAACTATAAAATATTACTGAGAAAAATTAAAGACCTAAAAAATGGTAGGATATATACTAAGTTAACAGAATGAAGAACTAGCTACAGTAACAGTACCCGTTCTCCTCCTGTATTAATCTATAGATTCAGAGTAATCTCAACCAAAATCACATAATTTTTGGTTGATATTTATACATTGATTCTAAAATCTGTGTGGACATTCAAAGGACCGGGAACAGCAAAACACTCATGAAGTAGGGGGAAAGGTGGAGGAATCGCAAGACCAGATACGCTGTACATAGTAATTAAGACAGTGTAGTATTGATGTGTAATAAACATACAGATCAATGGAACAAAACAGAAAGTCCAGAAACAGACCTACACACATGTGGACACCTGACTGATGACAAATTCGGTGTGGCAGAGTAGTGAGGGAAAGAATGTTTTCCCAGCCAACAGTGCTGAGTTGGTTGGATAACCATATGGGGAAAATGGTCCAGACTCTCACATAGGACACTAAAAGCAATTCCTGCTGCACTGTAGCCCTGCACTTAAAAAATAAAACAATATGTTTCTGGAAGAAAACTATAAAAGAATATCTTTATGGCCTGGGAAAAAGGTAAAGATTTACTAAAGAGAGCTCCCAAAGCACTAAACATAAAAGAAAAGCTTGATAAATCAGACCATATAATTAAGCATTTGGCTTATCAGACACCACTACTGAGAAAGTTAAAGGTCAAAGAGAAGATATTTAAAAGGTGTGTAATTAACAAAGGACTTACCTCCAAATATAAAAGTAATGACTACAAGTCAGTGAGGAAGAAGACAGGACAACCCAATAGGAAGATGGGACTGGAGCAAGCACTTCACAAAAAACAATATCCAAGTGGCCAGTAAATTGGTACATATTGCCACTTTGGAAAATTTATGTCATTAATTACCAAAACAGAATAACTGCATACCTATGATGCAGAAAGGCTACTCCTGGGTGTATACGTAACAGAAGTGTGTACATGTGTTCAAAGACACATACAGGAATTTTTACATCTGCTTCTTCCTAACAGCCCTAAGCTGGCAGCAACCCAAACGCTCTTCACTAGTAGCTTAGCTAAATAAATAATGAATATTCATATAGCAGAATAGTATACAGCAATGAAAGTGAACAAACTTCCTACATACAATAGCATGGCTGGATGCCACAAACATAACAAAGGGAGAAAGACATATAAAGTTCAAAATAAGCCAAAAAATGGTGTCAGAAGTTAGAATACTGGTCACTTCTGGAGAGATGACGTTATGACTGGGTGGATGCAGAGGGTGGTCTTTGGGTACTGGTAATGTTTTTTCCTTCTTTTTGTTTTTAAATTAAGTTCTAAAACTAATTTTTTTTTAAGTTTTCAGTTTGAAAAGCCTCAAATCTGTAGAAAAGTTATAAAAAAGTACAATGAAAATTTTTATACCCTTTACCCAACTCAACAACGGTTAGCATTTTTCCACATTTACTATTTCTGGCCCCGCCCCTCTGTATATATATTTATATATTTTCCCAATTCATGAGAAAGTTGGTTGAAGCCATCCTGGCACCCTAAATATTTCAACATGTAATTTCTAAGAAAAGGGCATTCTCCTGCATAACCACAATACACTCAGGGAGTTTATCAGTGATACAGTCAGATCATCTATTATGCAATCCATATTCTGTATTTTTCAATTGTCTCAATAATGTCATTGATAGTTCATTTATTTCCAATGCAGGGTCCAGTCGAGGCTCAGGCATCGTATTTAATTGTCCCTGTTTTAAGGTCCCTTTGATCAGGAATCATTTTCTAGTTTTCTGTTTTCTTTCATGATATTGACACTTTTGAAGGGTTTGAACCTATTGTCTTGCAGAATGTTCCTGCAGTCCACATATATACCACAGCGTGGCTGGATCTCACAAAAATAACATTGGGAGACAATGTATGTAAAGTCCAAATATAGGCCACAAATGCGTTAAAAGCTGAGATAGTGGCTACTTTTGGGGAGAGAGATTTGTCTGATTATTTCCTCATTATTTAAATTAAAGGTCAATATTTTAGCAAAATGACTACATAGATGATATTATGTCCTTCTCAGTGCGTTACATCAAGAGGAAATGATGTTAGTTTGCCACAGTATTGATGAGGTTGAATTTGATGAATTGATTGAAGTGCTGTTTGACAGATTTTTCTATATCCAGTTCCCTAACAGTTTTCATCTGAACAATTTAGCATCCATTAATGATTCTTATCTAAATCAATTTTTACCAATAATGATTATAAAATGATTATTTTTCTATCCTTCCTTTCACATTTATTAGCTAATTTTTTGTAAAGATTTTGTACAGCTTTCCCCTCTCTACCTAAAATTTAAAAAAAACTTACTAACATGGATCCATGGATTCTTTAATAAGCTATAATCCATTCTTCTCTTCATTTGTTTTGATGTTCAAATTGTCCCAAACGCAGCTCGTAGTGAGTCTCTTCAAGATAGTCCTGAGTTCTGTCGACAACTCTCCATCAGTTTTTCAGTACTTTCCTACTTTCTGGCACAATATGTTCCATAATTACATTTTTGGTTTCCTGTCCAGCCCTGGAACCAGCCAAATCTTCAAGTTTCTGTTCTTTTTAATGATGGTTAATTTAATAACCATGATATGGACATTAGGAGTGCTCATTGCAACAGAGATGTTGTTTCTAGTGCCTTT